CGGAATGGATGGCTTCTTCACGACTACTTGCCTCTCTGGTGACATCCCCTTATATAGATGTTGAGCTATTTCTTTCAGTAACACCAGTTGGGCCTTATCGGTTCGCATTGAAATAAGTGCTTGTCTCATTGATTCTCTGTCAGCTTCAAGTGCCTGAAGCCTCAAATAAAGTTTCTTGACTTCGGGATCTCCAAAACCGACATGATTCAGTGACCCTCTGGGGGTCGTTATATAGTCTTCATAAATGCCAACTGCTGGCTTGGACTCGTAAGAACCGTTATATGTTGCTACGTTGTGAATAGAGTCAATGGTATAAACTCTATCACTCGTGTCATCACCAACTTCAGATGCATTATCCATTTTCCTCAAATTAGAGTAGTCCTCACTCTGCGAGACATGTTCCTTCTTGAGGCTTGATGTATGTCTTGGAGATTCATTCACTTGGGGCATACCTGTGAAGAAACTTGAATCATTGGAAAACTTACTGGAATGTCTAGGCCTCCTAGGAGATTGCCCCACAATCACCTTCTCTAAAACGTTCTTTGTACCACCAAAGAACTCCGCATCCGGATGATTGTAGCTAGAACTTCTCTCCAATTGGCTGATCCTATTTCCCAAATTCATTACGTGATCTCGATTGCGCGGGGTTTCACCGAAGGCATATTTCTCAATATCAGCAATATCATTATCATGGTCCAAAGGACCTTGAGCCTCGTTTAAGTTGCATCTTAGAGGAGGGTAATCATACATGGGAGTTTCACACTGAGCCTCATATTCCACAATATTCTGGCTACAACTTTGCTCACCCCGCTCACCATCCGCCTCATCTTCCGTTAGCCCATAGCTCATCATTCTATGTTTATATGCTTGTACCTCGCAAGTGAGAGACTGAATAGCTTGCTCTCTTTTATATAATAAGTCCTCAAATGATGCAAGCTCTTGTTGATCATGTGCAATCTTCTCTTCTGCAAAGCGTTTGAATTGTCGAGCCTCCATTTGGATCTCCGCCTTCTCCCTTTGCAACCTCAATATCATTGACATAGCCTCATTAGCAGCTGATGAAGAAGCATTCCTCTCCTCTTCAAGCTCAGTATACAAGTCCTGAATTGCTTGTTGTTGATTGTTAACCATCTCCCGCAGCGCATTGCATTCATTCTCAACTTGTACACGTATAACAGAAAAGTTATCCAACCCAACAATAGTGAAAGGGCTATTTGAATCCAATTCATCATACTTCCGTTTTACAGATCGAATCCAAGTAGCTAATGGCCCAGTAGATAACGAACAACTGCACGGGCAATTACAGTATTTCACCGAATCCAATGAAGCTGGAACTGCCTCCGAATCCATAAACCAATGAGCATTCAAAGTCTAAACAATTCGAATAGAAATTGCAACACAATTTGATTCTATTCTACAACTGATGAATCCAAACAAGATAAAAATGACCCGGCATTGAAGTGCTCAAATCCACTCTCTTGAATTGTGGACTTCTGTATACAATTCTCTCCCCTCCTAACAACAGCTCTTCTTCCTCCAATATCAGAAACAAAGGGAACAAAACTACCTAATTGGGAAAATGAAATGAAGTCAGAACTTAATAATAAGAAATCATCATACCACTACAACAACCTAGATCAGCAAACAGATAAATCAATGAACGTTCACAAAAACGTCATTTCAGGGCCATTTTCTCCTCCATTTCAAAAATCATTTCCACAAAACCAAATAGAACGAAACCATAACACGAAACGAGCGAAAGTAAGAAACCTCCATACCTTACAAGAGCTAAAATGACCGAAGAAGGCGTAGAAAGAGCTGAAAATCACAAACTGTTCGTATTTTCCCGCGAAAAATCCATTTCCCCCAAACAAAATCTGATTCGAGAACGAGAGATTAAAGAAACTCAGCGGCCAAAACAACCCAGATAACAGAAAACATTCCCCCACTTTTCTTCGAATCGAAAAATCAAGCTTATAGCCCGTCAACAATAATTAAAAAAAAAAAAAAAAAAAACACAGGGGAACACCAAAGCGGGGATACCTTTTATGGAGGGAAACAGAATTTGGAGGGGAAGAGAAGAAAAGAAGAGAGATTTGGAAAACCCTAAATTAAATGGAATTATTTGTTGTATCAGGTCTTTTTCAGTCGGGTTTCTCGATTTCTGCGATATTGTTGATGAGAGAGAAGAGAAAAGTTTGAGCAGAGAGAAAGAGACGCGAACGAGCGAGAGAGGGAGAGAGAGATGGACGGCCAGATTTCGGAGAGACTCGCCGATCCGTTAGAAGTTTGTTCGTCGGAGCTTTTATACCAAACTAATTAATTATCTCGTCATTTCACTCATCATTTTCTTTTTGTAAAAATTTCAAAAATAATGTCTCCAATTACAATTATATCCTTCAATTTTACGTCTTTATAGACTGTAATTTATCACGTTTTTAACACTTAAATATTACCCCAAATTTTATATAAATAAATAAACTAAATTTTACTCTGATGGCGATTTTGTATTTTATAATATCATTAAGGACTTAATTGTAAATTTTAGTGACGAGTGTTTGAATTAACAAAATAATATGAGGGTGTGATTAGTAACATCCTCGAGCGTTTAGGGGTATTTTTGCAAATTCTCTTAAAAATTTGTTAATGAAATATTTTATTTTTAGGAAATTGTATGGTTGCTTATTTGGCGAATCATAGAAACTTTTGACTTATATCCATTGATTTGCAAGATCGTCTAATCTTATCTTCTTTTTAAGGTTCAATAACCGTTATAATCTTAGAATTAAATCATGATTCTTCATAGTTATTGTATACGTATATAATTCAAACAACTTAATCGATTAAATCTACAATAACCAAATTAGAATTCAGAGCTAAGCATTGACCATTAAACCTCTAAAAACTATCAAATGGATAGGAAGCGTTTGAAAATGAGAGTCGAGAACGTCAAGATTTGACCATAACAAAGATTAACTCAAGAATTCTCCCAGATAGCTCGAGCTTAGATTACGATGACTTGCCCATTATCGATTGATAAAAAAAAAAAAAAAAATCTTTCTTTGTAATATTATAATTCAAATACAAATTGTAAGTTAATGACATTAATTAAATTTGTATTTGTTTCTTCCCTTGCAACTTTACATCATTACATTATTTTATGAAAAATAGATATAAATATTAATTAAACTATTAATTTTGTGTTTAGTAATAGAACTTTCCTCGGTTTCTAATTAATCTATATTTTTAAAATTATTTTTTAATTCAATTAAAAAATGCCACATTTAAAATATAAAATAATTGTCACGATATTTATGAATCTTTTCCAATCTTTTTCGCGGGTGGTAGCCATGTTTATTATGACTTGTGAGCTTTAAAGTGTACATATAACGAAATTATTAAATCATAGGAAAATTTCAAATTCTTATAACTACGAACCAAATCAAATATGGCGTGTTTGGCATTACCCCATAATTTTCCATCTTGACTTTGACCATGTAAAATCAAGAATAAACTATATAATAAACAATTAAATCGATTAACTCTAAAGTTGTTGGTAGGAATTCATGTATAAAAAATATAAATACATAAAATAAATTAATTAATAGACTTCTAATTAAAAAGTGTAACTAAATGATCCCTTACTAATTGTCAGTCGATTTAGTTATTAATTTTCATATATGTTAATTTTCACTAAGCTTATTTTAATATTAGTTATACAACTATTTTTTATTATTATTTATAATTAATATAACTCGATTTAATATTAATACTATTGGAGTATTATTGTTAAATATGATTTTCTTTTATGTTATAAATTTTGTTATTTTTATTTTTAATATTATGGATGGAATTTATGAACGTCCCACAAACTTTTTTTTAAAAATAATTATTTGAAATATCTTTTTTTATATATAAAAAGATGATTTTAAATATAAAAAGATATGGCTAAAGAAAATTGTGGGACAGGTGTCTTCTTTATACAGGCTTTGACAGCACAACCACCGGCTGATATTTTGCTGGGAATAGTGGTTCTGTTTTTATTTATTTATTTATTTATTTTTCCTTTTATGGATTTTAAATATGTTTATAAAAAATATAGTGCAATTTCCAAGACCCATTTTGATTTTTTTTTTTAAAATAAGAAAAAATTTCCAAAATTGCACTCATGCATTCAATATTTTCCCAAACTTTCAAAGATGTATATATTTGAAAAATAGAAACAATAAAAAATAATTATTAATGCAAATAATGAATAATGCCTAAAATAAAATAAATCCAAACCCTAATTTTCTACCATATTAATTACTATTTATTAATACAAATACCTACAGATTCATTATAATTCTTACGTTAAAATTTACAACTCTAATATTTTTCATAAATATTTTTATTTATTCAGCTAGCAAATTAAATCCGATACTAATTTTAGTAAAATTAAAACTAATTTTATAATTATTTAATTTTTTACTTAAAAAAGTTGGGCTAGAGGTAGGAAAAGACTTCCCAGCATACTAAAATGCCCCTGATAGGCTTCTCTAATAGTTAGGCTTATGGGCCTCACGCAAGCCCAATAAGCCCAATAAATTTTACTGTTTGCAAGTTCGGAATGGGCTGGACTTCTCTAACTATTAGGCTTATGGGCCTCACACAAGCCCAATAAGGCCAATAAATTTTACTGTTTGCAAGTTGGGAATACGTTGGGCTTCTCTAATAGTTAGGCTTATGGGCCTCATACAAGGCCAATAAGCCCAATAAGTTTTACTGTTTGCAAGTTCGGAATGGGATGGGCTTATCTAATAGTTAGGCTTATGGGCCTTACGCGAGCCCAATAAGCCCAATAAATCTTACTGTTTGCAAGTTGGGAATGGGTTGGGCTTGTGGATGTCCTGAGCCCATTTTTATGGAATTCTTTGTGGCTTAAGATTTAATAAAAACAAAATGACAAAATTGGGTAAAGCTAAAGGTGAATATTACAGTTTGTACCCTTCTTTCTCGTCAGTTCCCATCCGTGAAAACTCCCCAATTTCACTGATCAGAGGAATTTCCTACACGGTAGCTTCAAATTTTGGGGAATTTGCAAAACCCTAGCTTCATCCATCGGGATTTGAACACAACCTTGTTCCAGTTGGAGGCTACAATCTCAAAATTTGTGTAAATGAGTTCGGCAAAAAAGCATTACAAGGATAAATTTGCTCGTCACAAGTATAGCTTCAGTATCTGTAATTTCTGTTGTTTTATTTGATTCTTCCATGCTATAGTTTCTTCTGGCCGAGTTTTTGTTAGAAATTTTTGGGGAATGGTATTAATATGCCTCATTCGATGCATAATGTAACAGGGAGGAGAAAACTGAAGAACCAGAAACGCCAAAATACAGAGATCGAGCTAAAGAACGAAGAGAAGATCAGAATCCTGATTATGAATCCAGCGAGCTGGGTTTTCATGCGGTTGCACCTCCTGGGACTGTCGACATTCGGTTAGACCTGCTTCCTCCGTTTGCTCAATGCAATTTTCTTCTGTAATTTGCATGTTAAGTATTTTCTTCTTACTTTCTATGCTCATTTTTTTAGTGTTACTTCATTTTTTCCAGGGCGGCTGATGCACACAAGTTATCCATCGAGAAGAGCAAGTACCTTGGAGGTTCGTTCCAGTAGAATGAGGTTTTTCAGTTTGTGTTTTTTAACTTTGTAAAATTAGGAACTGTTCTTCCTTTGCATCCAATTCAGAATCGGGTGGATATATTTAAATTTGGGGTGGTGGTGGGGGGTGACTAATCAATAGTGTGTTCTACAAGTACAACTCGCCCTTTTCCCTCCTTGCTGGTCCATTAGCGATTGGAATGTGGCCTTTCAGAGGAGTTCTTAATCATTAATTATGCATTTGGAGTTGCTCGTACCTTGGTAATATTTATAGCTTTTTGGTTGAAGTCTAAACCAGGGGATATTCCCAAGCCATTATTATTGTTTTTACTTTATGTTCTATTAATTTTTTGAGCTGCTTTGATGCAGGGGACGTTGAGCATACCCACTTGGTGAAAGGTTTGGATTATGCTTTGCTCAATAAAGTAAGAAGTGAGATTGACAAGAAGCCAGATTCTGGGGGTGATGCTGAAGGGAAAGCTAGGTATCTTATTGCCACCGCCGCCACCCATTTGTCTCGATTGTTCATTTTTTAGAATACAGTTAAAGAACTTGATAATACTTGTCTTAGAATCTCTGTTCTTTTTGTGATTACTTCTCTATTTCATCTAATCCTCGCCTAATTTAGTTAAATATTTAGAAGATTAGAAGTTGATAACTTAATGATTTATGTGAGATAAGTGTGGCATTGTTCAAACTTTCCATTCTGTTTGGACTAGATGTCTTTTTCAGCATTCTCTTTTCTTTTATTGTAATGACCATTGATAATGATTTTCTGAATGCTGATATTGCAGTACACCCAAGGAAGATCAACAAGTGTTGTTTCGCACTGCAACAGCGAAGGTGTATTTTAATTCTCTAAATATTAAAATTCTGTTAAATAGTGTTTCTGTTTCTTTGAAGATTTTGGTCATGCTTCTGTGAGCTGTTTGTGCTAACGATCTGTGGCCGTTCTTCTGTATTTCAGTCAGTATACAAATGGATCGTCAAGCCCCAGACAGTTATTAAGTCAAATGAAACATTCCTTCCTGGTAGAACATCATTTATTTTTAACATGGTAATCAATGTTTTCCTTTTATCCTAGTTAGTTTGAATAAAGCTGTCTGAAGACATATCATGGCCCTTCCTCCATTTTATCTGGGGGCTCATTTCAGAAGTAACAGGGTTTTCTTTGGAACTTTACCCACATTATTGTTTGTTGATCTGTGGTTAGTATGTGCTCAGAGGCTTTCTTCAATTTTTACATGCATGAGATCATATGGATGGAATTGGTGCACATAGGTAAAATTGGACAAAGTTGAAGATCCAGTAATGTAATTTCAGATTGCACGAACAAGAGCGTAATTGCATTCAACAGAATGATTTTTAAAAAAATTATCTTATCAGTAAAAGAGAAAAAAAAAAAAACTCCATCTTTGTTAACCTGCACCACCGTGTTATGTGGATGTGTAATGAAGTACTAGAATTTAGAAATATTTAGTAGTGATCTTGATTGTCTGGAAGAGTACATAAAGGTGGCTGGTTTGTGATGCTAAATCTTAGAAACCACAACTCTCTACAATGGTATGATATTGTCCACTTTGAGCATAAGCTCTCATGACTTTGCTTTTGGTTTCCCAGAAAGGCCTCTCACACCAATGAAGATAGTGTTGCTTACTTATAAACCCATGATCTTCCTCTTAATTAGCCAACGAAGAACTACTCTTTCAATAATCCTCAACACATCCTTGTTTGGTAGAAGGGGCATGATCAATTTTTTATCCAGTGAAATTTATTCTCTCACTTGCTCGTGATGCTCTTACTGAATTTTACTCGACTACTTATCTGATATCTTATTCACAGGAGGGTGGATATTCTCATGATATTCCAACTACCTTGCATAGAAGTAAAGCCGACTGTCCAGTGCCAGAGGTTCATTTCTTCTTGATCTCTTGGTGAAATCCTTCTTTCCTCACATCATTTCCTCTGAAGTTTTGTACAATGCACCTAATTTTCATCATTGGTTTACTGGTGCAGGAAATGGTGACCGTCAATGTTGATGGTTCTGTACTAGATCGAATTGCTAAGATTATGTCGTATCTTCGTCTTGGATCCTCAGGGAAGGTTTTAAAGAAGAAAAAGAAGGATAAAGATGTAAAAGGTAATCCCTTTTCATTAATTAAATATCATAGGAAGCATGATTATTGTTCTTCAGTTTCTCTCATGCGAATGTAGGTTTGTAATGAACCGGATTATGTTTGAATAAAAGATTTTATTGTCGTACTTAGAGCATATACGTGCACATGGGCATAAAAAGTGCAAGCATTTAATGAATTTAGGCAAGCTAGTGGGATTTTGTTCATATCCCACCCCTGTTTTTACCTTTTAATTTACCGTTCTTTTTGTATTTTCTTTGCAGGGAAGATTTCAGCTATTGTTAATGAATATGTTGGAAACAACAAGCCATCAACACTCGATGCTGGTGTGCCAAAGAAGCAAACGGAAAGAGAGATGTTGCCCCCTCCACCTCCTCTCAAGAAAAATCAAATAGTTTTAAAGGAGAAGCAAGGACCCGTTGTTGCAAGAGTAGACGAAGATGATATTTTTGTCGGTGACGGCGTTGATTACACTGTTCCTGGTAAGGACCTGAGCCAGAGTCCTCTTTCAGAAGACATGGAAGAATCTCCTCGAAATAAGGAGAAACCTAGTTATTTCTCTGAACCTGCTTATGGTCCTGTCCCACCCTCTGGACCACCTCAGGAATGGCAAGAAGCAGTAAGTTGATCTTGTTCAACTCGTAGATTCGTAACAGCCTTTCAAATTGCAAGCTAATACAGAGTCATTGGATTCTTTGCTTGTTCCAGTTTTTAACCTTCTGTGTTCTTATCTGAGTTCAATGATGTTGCAGAATGGTTATGGGGTGATGCAACCTCAAGCGTTTCCTGCTGGTTACCAAGGAGAGTGGCAGGATTACCAGTATTCTGATCAACTGGCTTATTCTGAACAGTACCTTCAGCTCAACATGCAGGCGTATGATATGCAAACAGGAGTGCAACACGATCCCCACCTCATGACTCAAGAAGAGAAAGATAGGGGGTTAGGGTCGGTATTCAAGAGAGACGATCAGAGACTACAGCAACTGAGAGAGAGAGATGCACGAGAGAAGGATCCCAACTTCATATCAGAGAGTTATTCTGAATGTTATCCTGGATATCAAGAGTATAACCGTGAAATCGTGGACAGTGACGATGAAGATGACTTATCGAAAATGGACATGGGAGGCCGGGTAATTTCTTATCACTGCTTTAGGAACTGAGAGTACTTCAAGACCTTTATTTGAAAATATGTGGTTCTTTATAGTTGTCTGAATTAATTAATTCATTCTGAGTTCGTCTTTGATGAAAACCCAATCGTATCGGTTTAATGTACTGGGTTTGAATATTGACTTCGATATTCATATTTGTAGGCGAAGGGCCGCCTTCACCGATGGGACTTTGAGACAGAGGAGGAGTGGGCAAAGTACAATGAGCAGAAGGAAGCGATGCCAAAAGCTGCGTTCCAGTTCGGTGTGAAGATGCAAGATGGTCGTAAGACACGAAAGCAAAACAAGGACCAGAAACTCAACAATGAACTGCACAAGATCAACAGGATACTAGCAAAAAAGAAAATGGAGAAGGACATGGATGGGGATGATGATGATGATATACAACCGGGAAAGAAGATTAGAATTTGAGTTGATTTGGCAATGGGAATGGGATGATCCTTAAAAGAATATAGCTGGAAGGTATATAATTTTGAAAAAGGAAAATAAAGATGACACCACAAACTTGGTCTTAGTTTCTTTTAACCTTATTTAATCTCATTCTACAATTGTATCTTACACTTGCAAACATTCTATTTTGGTCGTTCTATTTCAAACTTTATTTTAGCTCAAATTTAAAAGTCATAAATTCAAATCTCTACTTTGTTTAATATTTTAACCCAAAAAAAGCAAATAAAGAAACTCCCACCTAGAAGAAAAAGTAGTACCAACATCTAACCCACCAACCACACCATACTTTAGTTGTTGAAGATTTATTAATATAACCAAGCAAATATAGAAAACAATAATTGTTCATTCTTAAACAAATACCACCAAACCAACCACTAGACTACTTAAATGTAATTGGTAATCATTACATAGGCACAATTTGAAGTGTGTTTTTGTTTCTTTTATTTATCTCAAGTAACTCAAGACAAAACCCAGATCAAATACTCCGCATCTGGAAGGGATAAGGAAAATGACAAAAACAAAGGCAAAGTCAATACTTTCTTACTCGAGAGAGTCCACATCCGTGTTTGCACGCGTGGATTTTTGGATTTCCAACCAGATCTTTTGCATAAACAGGCAGCAGCCGACGTTATTTTCAAAAGAAAAGTTGCCACCACCAACTCCAGAATGGCAACAAATGCAGCAGCAGCCTGTTGTATAAGAAAATCAGATTGATAAATGGTGGTACTGTAAATTTTAATAACCGACCACAAATCTAGTCTGGGAATCCCAGAAATCTTTGGTTTGCTTCAGCACCCTCGCTCGTTCTTCCGTCAGCCTCTCCTTCCAGTACCCTTTACACCTGAATAGAGTTGTTAAAACAATAAGTTGTATTTCATCATGCCAACTCAACTAAAATTTACTACATAGACATGTTTTTGTTGATACTTATTAAATAGAAGCATAATGGTGACGGAAAGGAAAGAGGTTCCGAGTTTTTAAACCTTCTTTTCAAAAGCATATCCAGTTCCATCATGTGCAATGCTTTAGGATATACCCCAGTCTGCATTAGAAACAAATAACAGTCATAATAGCTCGATTCTTTTGCTCAATAGAACCTCTAAATTTTCGTGGAGTAAAATATCTCACCAACATAAATGTTGTGTTGAGCGAGAGTAGAACATTCAAAAGGGATGAACTTTCTTAAACGATATCTAAGTAGTAGATAGAAGAAAAGGGAACTTAGATGAAATTCTGGATAACAGGTGACAGCAGATATTCTAAGCAAACAGGACAGAAGAAATTGTTATTTCTTGGTTTTAATTATTTTTTCACGACCTTCCTTCATGTACCTCTCTTTTCCTTTTGAATATGCAAGTGTTTCTCCATTTGGGGGAAAAACAGCTAAAGGATGTTGACTAATGGGCATGTAAATAGCAAGATTTTAAAAGCAAACTAGCATCAGAGAACATGTTTAAGCTAGGAAGAATTCAAGAACATGGTTGTATGAAGTAAAAAAACAAAAACATTGGAGATATTTCCACTTATCAAGTACTACATCAATTGTGGTTCATGACATTTAATGTTCTCCTGAATTTGTCTTTTTCTCAAACTTTTCAAATCTTAGTTGGTCATGAAGAATAATATAATTGCTTCAAATACCAAACACAAACCTCTCTACAAACAGGGCATTTAGACTCCGGGCTGGCAGCCTTTGGTCCATCACAGATCATTGCGGAAGCAGCTAAACAAACACACGATTTGCAGAAAAGATGACCACAACCCAAAGCATATGGATCAAATAGTGTATCCTGTAACATGATCGAACTTCAGAGGCTTATCAAATGAACTCCAAATACTACCATCCCTCTGGATTACAGCCAAGACCAGAAAACTTACCAAGCATATAGGGCAAGTAAGATCATATTCCAATTTCATAGAATCTGGAAGCATCAATGTCATTTTTGGTGTGTCATCGACATCAACATCGACATCAAAAGAAAAGTGAGTGGAGAATTCTGAGGGAGAATCTCCATGACCGGATCTTTTAAAATTCAAACAAAAAGCACCCAATTCTATAAGCCATGGTGATTGCAAAAGCTCAATATGTTCAGCTCGCATTTTCAACTTAAAGTTCTTTCCGTTTACAGAGCTATGCACCTGTAGTCGATTATTTAAGCACACAAAAATTATGTTCTTAAATTGTAAAAAACAAATTCCAATGTCAAATTCACAAATCTTCAAAATATTTATTTAGGCTGAAAATCACCTTATCGTATTTCTTAAGAATCTTTCTGATAGCAATAGCATTCATCGTAACATATTCAATCAGCATGCGGCCTTCTTGTATCATCGTCGTTTGATCAGTTTTAAAGCAATGAACCAATCGCGCCATGTATCTCTCAATTCCCCCAGCAACATGAAGATGAAGAAGATGTCTAACTCTCGTGCTGAAACACCCCGCAATATCCAAGGCTTCCCTCATCAACTCCGAAAAAAACAGCTGATCACACACTGCAAAGCCGAAATATTCAATTAATTTCAAAGTCCAACAACTGATTAGAGAGAACCAGCTAAGAAGTCGGAAGAAAACGACGTATTGACGATCTTACGAGGGCAAGACTTGCATTCACATTCATTGGTGCAAGAATCATTAAGTCTGCAAGTCCGACAACTCTTAAGAACCTTCTTCAGCCGCTTATACTCAACATGCGAACATTTGTCCAGGAACCACTCTCGATCTCCGTGCAAATATTCCATGAACGTCTCTCCGAATTTCATCTTTCACCTAATAGATAAAACTAAAAATAAAAAATAAAAAATAAAAACCCTAAAACACCTGAAAATTTAAGGGGAGATTCTGAGACCCATGGATTTTGGGGGAAAACAATAGGAATCAGCGACAAAAACAGAAATCGGGCAAAACAGAACCAGCATGCCAGAGTTCAACAAAACTCACCTCAAACTAGAAGGAGACCAACCGAATCGAAACTAAATAAGGAAGAAAAAGGCGTGTTCTCGGGTCTTGTTTTATTCGGTTTCTTGAAATTTCTCTTCAGCCAAACGGAGAATGGGAACGTTAAGAAGAGAAATCCGAGAAAATCGAAAGAGGAAACGAAAATCTTAGAGAGAAGGAGGGATGAGCAATGGAATTCGTTCGCCACAGAAAAGGAGAATTCGTTTCAAAGTAGAACGATGCCGCGCACTTTCAGCGGGTGCCGTGGTTGAAAATGGCGGCTGGTTACATGCAGAGTGCGGATTCCAAGTGTTCTATTGCTATTTCCCACTACGTTTTTTTACTGGTAGGTGGTTGAATGAAAAAGAAAAATCCAATTAATCCCTTTTTTCCATTTCGTAGAATAATATTTTTTATGTTAAATTACAAATTTATCCTCAAATACAAGTTTGGTAAGATTTCAATTTTTTTTTTAAATATTGCTCCGTTTTAAAATAAAAACAAAATATTTAGTTTTTTATTTTTGATTCTTGATTTTAAGCTTAAAAGATATTGATTTTGTTTATAGAAAAAAAAAATGTAATTAAATTGAACAGAACATACTGACACGTGTCTTGTGAAGAAAAAACTGACGTGTCACGTGGCTCCCCATCCCACATGTAGCCACGTGGACTTTCCTACATAACATTCTCTCTGTTTTTTTTTTTTTTAATTCTATTATTTGGTTCATCTTACAAAATCAAATGGTAGGTAGGTAAATATATTTTTTTTAATAAAATTTCAACATATAGATATTTTGATATCTTTATCTCTTTTTACCAAAATATGAATTATTCGTTAATTAATATTTTTCCAAATATTAATTTGGTAATTAAAACGTGGAATTTGCCAGATAACAAAGAACAATTTTTATTCCAAAAATTTTAAAAGAGGAGAGTTGGAAGAAGCGATGAAGGTTCTTTGACCAGTTGCCAAGTGGGCAGAAACAGTCAATCAAAGTCAAAACGAAACACGTGGAGGATTATGATTGGAGAGTGAAAGTACGGGTAAAACTGTGACAGTCACGTTTTTCCCACAGGCATCGCATCAGATGCTTCCGCCATTTTTTTTATATAATTAATTATGGAATTTCGTATTTGTCCAGTAAGGTTAGTTCCAACATGGATTTGTTCCGCAACGCAAAGGTGGTGCTGCTCCGAAGCCATACCAAGAAGTATTTGTTTGCCGACGAGGATGAGGAGTCCGTTACTCAGAGCCGAAACGGATGGACCAAGAATGCGAGATGGAGCGTTGAGTTTGTTAGGTTCTCTGATTCAATAATCCGGCTCAAGAGCTGCTACGGCAAGTACTTGACGGCATCGAACCAGCGGTTGTTTCTCGGAATGACCGGCATGAAGGTTCTGCAGACTCGTCCAGAGCGGTTGGACTCGTCGCATGAGTGGGAGCCGATCAAGGAACACTCGCTTGTGAGACTCAAAACGCAGTACGGTAGTTTCTTGAGAGGCAACGGCGGTGTTCCGCCGTGGCGGAACTCGGTCACTCACGATGCGCCACATCGTACCGTTACACAGGAATGGATTCTATGGAATGTTGAAGTTATTGAAACCGAGATTCAATCCTCCGTTCACAAAACCCTAGCTCAACCCGAACCCGACCTGTATTCAACATCATCTTCAGTTTCATTTGAATCTGCACGTCCTTCAACATCAGAGGTACGTTACTAAACTATTACCCCAAATTCAATTTGATTAACCCCAACTTTACACGATATGAATTTTCAGTCGACTAATTCTGGAGCCTTGAACACACTACCTAAACCGGAAGGGAGGAGGATATTTTACCAGATTGCTGATGACGATGGGAGGATGAAGATTCGAAGAGGCATATTTTATCAGACTGCTGATGACGAGTGGAGGATGAAGATTCAAAGAGGCACTCTTTGATCCAACAACTCAACTTTGAAAGTTGTTTTGGTTTTGAAATCTTCTAAACGTAAGAATCTTTGAACCCTTGCAAACCCTTTGATTTGAAAGGGTTCAAACAGAATGTATAGTTTAAACAATGGCACACTTATCTCGATATAATAACAACATAAACGTTCAAAATTTTGTCTATTAGTTAGTTCGTGCGAAACAAGAATACCCAATCAAAATTGAAAATTCAACGATCTATTAGACATAAAATTAAAAGTTTAGAAGTCTTCTTCTAAGCCAAATGTGATTCACACAGAAAATTAGTTGGAAAGGTTTTCATTAGTACCAATGAAATGGGGTATATGAACATGTTATACACTACACTGCAGTGTTGAGGAGGATGTACACAAGGATTATAAAGTTTCACAAACTCATCTCATCATCATCTAAGGGAAACCAGCAAGCACACCACCAAAAGAGGGTAAAAATAATGAATTGAGACAAAAACACTGCCAACAACTATAAAACTCAATATACATCCCCTCATCAGATGGATAAAAAAAGAAGAGAAAAGAAGGAACTTGTTATGTACCTGCTGCTAAATTACACTACACCTTCATCATAACCCACCAACCAACCTTTTATAAAGCTCAAGCTTTAAGGAGTGCATTAGAAAAACACATGGCAGAGCCTCAGATGGAAGAATCGAACAGCAAAACGCCCGAGGAAAAACTAACCTCCCTCCCTCACCCCATTTTAATCGAAAAGGAAAAGGGAAAACAAAAACTATATATCACTGAATTCCTATTAACTACAAACTCAATAGTAGCTTTGTTGTTTCTTCATACGCACCTCTCATTCGCATATTCTATGTTTCTTCCACAATTGACGAAGTGGGACTTCATATGGCTCATGTATTGGTAGACGGTCGCTATGTTCAGTTATATATTTTCACAGGTTTCTCGTATGTGGCACGGTTCTGCAAAACATTTATGAGAATTCGGTCGTTACAATATGAAACGTCACTGTATAAGATTGATTATACCTAAATCTAACATATAAAAAACCTGTCTACAGTACATCATAACCATAAAGATGGTTAAAGATTCTCACATGATTGACAGCATAAGACCTCTTGGGAGTGGTGTCTGAATGCTCTAACCCAAGGTACTGTTCCCAAGCACCATAAATGTCTCTCCTCTGCATAGTATATTTGTACAGATTCAAAACAATCAGTTCATTCTTTAAAGGGTAACACCCAATCAAACAATTGAGAACCTTATAGTTTTACAGTTAAAGCAGGAAGTACCTGAAACCGATTGGAGACAACGTCGGAATCCTGCAGATATTCTGGCCGCCCCAGGGAGAAAAATGCAAACTTCCACTGGGGAAATGAAGTTGGAAAAGAAAATAGAATTATGCACCAAAATAAATTGCAATGGAAAAGAAAAGGGAATGCACAGCAGAAACCAGGTTCAAGAGCTTACATTGGAGAACTCCTCATCTGGAACTTGAAGTTTCTTCTGTATGCGAACTTTCACATCAGCCAAAGTCTCACCTTCATGAATGACCAAGAAAAAAGGTTCTCCAAAATTCTGAACTTGCTGTTGGATAAACAACGCATTTTAAAAGGTGTGATATAAGAAAGCATTAAGAAGCCGGAATAATCAAATGGCTGGAAGCTATTTCAGAAAACTCCAGAGGAATATCAATTTCATACCATTTGGTTTTGTGCCGTCTCTTTGCTGAAGTGGTACACATGAATCAAACGATCCTGAGGACCAAGGTTTTTCTCCTCTTCAGGAATCTGATATTCACATCAGAAACAATAGAAGCTTAGCAACAAGTTTAACACTAATAACAACCGATTTCATACTCTCATGGTTAAAGCAAATCACCAAAAACCCTCAACAAAGGGTATGATGATGTGTCTGACCTCAAATAATATGGACAAAAAGAAAACAATCATTAGAAATAATTGTCATGGCGAAAACACTGACCTCCTCCACACGCAGTGTCCAGTATTGGTCATTTATATTCTCAATTCTTTCATTATGTGGAAAGATCTGTGAAAATGAATCATAGTTACAATTAAAAGCATAGAAAAAATAATATAATCAAGGCCTTAAATATATATATTGTAAAAAGATACAATCTCGTATGAAATGACGAAACAAGGGGGAGACCCCCCTCACTCACAATAGGAATTACATGAGACCTTTCCAATTGGAAAGGAAAGTGCAAGCTAGAACATTTACACCAAGTCACAACTGTAATGGCTATAGCATCAAAAGAATCTATGAAAAGAGAGGTCTTTGTCTTGAAATATTTTTCTGTTTTTTTCTTGCAGCAAATTCCAGAAGAAGGCTCATATAAATTTCTCCCAAATCATATTTTTCTCCGTTTTGAAGGGGCGTAAGACAGGAGAAGATTGGGATCTTCTGGAAGGACCGGGTGCCAGTTGAAGAAGGATAAAATTCCCAAAGGCCTCATTTACAAGAGACCATGAGATGACTTTGAGATTAAGAATGCTGCATAGAGCACTACTGTGGAGGCCAAGCCATGAAAGGCAGTCTTCTTTGTAACTTTGAGATTGAGAATGCTGCATAGAAAGGATAAAGCCAAGAAAGGCCCTCATTTATAGAATATTCTATCATGAATCAGAGAGCAATGTTTCATAATGGATTTCCAAGGACCCTTGGTTGTTCTAAGGGAATTTCTGCCTTGTTTGTTGTTGAGAGGGGTGGTCCCATATTTAAGATCAATAACCTTCCTCCAGAAAGCCGTTGTTTCACTTTGATGGGTTTTAATGGGGCAGAGCTAGCTTGGTGGGGTAAATATCAACATCAACTACAGACTATTTACAAGAAAATAGCAAAAAATACTTTATTAAAAGTTCCCTAACAAGTAGATGAAGATCTCATAAGAACTGAATCCAAGAGAAACTATTAAATCCAAAATCAAGCATATCATTACCTTATAGATCTTATGATAGAAAACTTCTAGTAATCTAAGTTCCGCATCTGGATGAGATAACTCAACCTGTAAGGTGTAATAAAATAAAATCAATAACGAAAGTGAAGGATTGTAAATGAATCGAGGAATAATAACAGAAGACAACGAGATGGTGTTTTCTGCCTATCAAAACTTTGATCTTCCTGCTTCTATAAGTAATAATTGAAAGAAGTACCTTTGTTTTAAGTAAATTAATAACATCGCCAACGGTACTCTGTTTAGGTAATCTAATATTGTGAATAACCACCTGAACAATATAAACAAAATGTTTCAAAGCCTGACGACAACCTGAAAAAGAAAATTTGTGCCACAAGCAATTCGTACCTCATCTTTTGTGGAATGATGAAAAGCAACCTTCAGATTTTTCAGACCTTGCAATTCTGGAAGGGGAATGTCCAGGACTTCATAATACAATATATCAGACATCTGTCAACATGTAACCCAGATTTCAGCCCCAAATCATGCAAATGGGCAAACAAGAATACAGAATTAAAATCCAGAAAAAAAAAAAAATACCTGGTTATAATGTACTAACATATCTGACAAATGATCTACACCCCGATATTTGATAGGCTGTGGCTTAGGTTGCTGAGAATAGCAATTATGTGCAGTCAATCTGATTTTGGATGGATCGTCCAGTCCAATTCGTTCTGCCAACTTTTCTACAACTTCATCATAAGTTTGAACTTTCGACCTATAGAAAGAGAAGTTATGCACATTGAACTGAGCCAACTTTGAATGATCTCAATTGAAACAAGAAAAATTCAGGTGGAATTACTTACAGTTCTATACAAAAGTCATCCTCCTTGGGTTTTTCTAGAGTTCGAAAATGAACAACCTAGAATGCAAAAAACCACATACAAGCATCAACAATGCATATCACCATCATTTTACAAATCGATCTCAAGCAAGTACCATTACACGACTGATAATCAAAGGCTCTATGCGTTCTCAAAGACGTAAAACAGTTATTTGCAAACTACTTCATAAGTGGCTTTGTGATTCGATGTTAAGTTCGTGTCTTCTCCGTGGATACTTATTGATTTCTTTCTTTCCACAGATTTCAAAAGAAAGCCATAACAGATTTTTCTGTAGCAGGGCTTTTGCCTTCTTAAAGGAGTGGTACGTTAAGGACATGTCCAATAAATCCTTTACCTCTCTGGGGCAAGTGAGATGTTCAAAAATTCTAAGCGTACGTGCATGCATAAATAAGTGCCTTTGTGATTCGTTGTCTTTCTTGTATAATGGGCACCAACCTGGAAATAGAGTTATGTAGTACATTCTTTTTTGTAGATTTTTACTCGAGCTAATGGCTTTATGTGCTATTTCCCAAAGGAAACATTCATTGAAGAGGGAATGTCAATTGGATGAGTTAATAACTCCAATAGACAAAGTAGAATCTACTTGGCCAACTGAAAAGCCATCTGAAAAACTTCCTACTCCAATAGGCATCCAATAGACAAAGTAGAATTTATGAGGTTTACAAATGAGAAATTTTAAAGAGAATCAAAAGTTCTCTCCTTCAAGCGCCCTTTAACATAGTATCAACAAAAAGTTATCTCCTTCAAGCGCCTTTTAACATAGTATCGATAGAAAGTTCTCTCCTTCAAGCGCCTTTAACATAGTATCAATAAAAAGTTCTCACCACACTGAAACCCTAACTTCAATTGAGTTTCATGATTGTAATTGAACGGCCCTAGTCATAATCTCATAGTTTCATTTCTTATCCCCAAAAGGAAAAAACTAATTTGTGGATCCAATATCTTCAATGTTGACAATAATGCAAAATTTTAATTTGCGTCCATTATGTGCCAAAATGTTAAGAGCATATCAGCATCCCATTTTATCCTACATGACAAGTAACCTAAGTTGAGGGTTGATTGTTCATAACAAAATGAAAAACCCTAGTGCAATAGATTATGGATAGCGATGTCATCCATTCAGGATTTGTACCTGACGATTATGTACATACTCCAAAAATGAAGGAACATCGGGGTACTTGCATTCTTCGCTATCAATAGGGGATTTCTGAAAGCAAATAATGTCCCCGTCCTCAATCTGAAGAAAAAAAAAAACAAAGTGGTGACAAATGAGCGGCACTTATATGAGCAAATGCAATAATAAGAGCAATAAGCTGATACCTACCTGACTTAGTCGAAATGA